GCCGGTTGACAACTATATTTCAGAGAGGTCACGCACGTGAGAGAACGATCTCGTGGAAAGAAACAGCGAGACGAAGATTCTCGTATGAGCACCGACACTCCACAATGTCGACTGCTTGCGCTCCGCGGAACGACTGAAGTTGTTCCTGGCGGACCGGTCATCGTCGATGCTGTCGCCCCCCTCTCTCCCTTCACTCTACGCAGTATTCGTTCCCTACTTCGCCGCCACCAAGCGAGCTTCAGGCAACGCGTGCCCGTCGCCAGTACTCTGAAACACTGGAGCACTTCGATTCCTCGGCAGACGTGGACGAATGGAGGATATAGAGATGACTAACAGTGAACCCCGTTGTTTCCAGCCGCGGTCTTCTTTCTCGCACTTTCGGCGCTCAAAGAATGAGACGAGTTAGCGGGCCACTCGGCTCGAAAGAAGGACGGAAAGTGTAGGATGACTCTATCGAACTTCATCTGCCAGTGTATTTAACGTTGTTTACCTTTAACGATGCCTTTAATTCGAACATAAGCACTCAGAGGAGATTTAACTTAGAATTTTCGAGATTAAAACTTTTAGTTTAAAATTGCGTCATCCAGCTTGCACGGTGCAACTTTATTGCGTTGGAAGGTGGCAAAACAAAGACTGTCTCAAATGTTTTAATGTCGATTTATGCTGCAATTCTAAGCAGAATCGTAAGTCTCGTAACTTGTTCTTGTAAAATTCTTTAGAATTTATGAGTAGATTTACAAGTCTATGCAATATCATATGTCGTACAATTACTCGTAAATATCTACGATTTCATATAATTTACGATATTTACAAGTGATTGTACGACATATAGCAGAGACTTGTAAATTTATTCATAAGTTCTGACGAATTTTACAAGAACAAGTTACGAAACTTACGATTCTGCTTAGAATTGCAATATTAAATTGTAACTGCGCACATTATCTCATTATCTAGTTTTTTGTCAATCGTGATAACGATTAACACGCGGTTACACGAATTCCACTCAGATTCCGGTTCTTGGGTAGGCATGACTTGGCAAAACGCTTCCTCGTCGAGAATGTCACGAATGCGAGTACCTTAGGCAGGTATTAAAATCGAATTAAGGTGCACGCGGGGTGTGCGGTTGTGGCAAAAAATTGACCGGTGGTGACCGAAATCAATTTCCCATTCTTGACGTATATTTGAAATTCCCGTGCGAAATGTTGATGGGTACGCGTTACGAAGCGCGGCGATACCGGATATGGAGTTTCCGTGGCGATCTGTACTCATTGCACTCGGGGAGAAAAGTTCGACTCCATCATACGAGACTGGCGATTATGCGAACGGCAATAATATGCATGATGGTAGATATACGACTAATATGCTTGAACCCTTTCCTTCACTTTGTATATTCATATCCTTTGCACTTTATATATTCATAATAGTGGCTTCCCACCTTAAAAGTACGAAGTAATTTACCAACAGGATGATATTTTCTTTCATTAAAGTCATGGTGGCAATTCGTCACTATCATTTGTTGCTATATGCGTAATAACTATTTTATTTCATGTAGAGCATCATTATGATATTTCCCTACATGCGTGGAAAGATCTCAGTACCGTGAAGCTAAAAAACGCAAATTTTTTGTGTAATAATACGACATAAACTTTACAGAAAAATATCAGTATCCTGCCGATAAACTTTCAAGCATAGCATCTCGTTACAATGAACTATTAGAATTTGAAAACAATTGAGTGAAACTTCCTACAGCAATCTTTCTGTTCCTACAACTGAGGTTTCCATCTAGTTCTTATTCCTCCTTGGCAATAAAAAATTCAGTTACAAACAAAACTGTTTCTCTCACGTATGTAATATCCTTAATTATGACTCTTTATACATCGTTTTTCCGTTACTTATAGATACATACACAGCAACACGTAAATAAATTCGAAGACTCTTCCAAACCTATGACTGGCCTATTTTCTCCTTCTGCGGGTCATTGTCATTGACGAACGTTCCCAAGAAATCGTACTTTTTCTCCGGTCATGGCTGGATGCGGGCGCGTGTTGTTGGAGAAACTAGTATTGGGGTATCTCCGCGTAAACAATAGTCCGCGACCACGTGAAGAAGTTTGTGAGTTATCTTTTTACGCGCAACCTACGCGCAGACAGCGCTTGTTCCTTATGTACACATGGATCTTAATCAAGCCAATTAAACGTGATACATAATTATTTCCTAGTTGTTACACTAACGTGTTGTTGCTTATGAAAATTATTTCACTAACTGATAGCTCTGAGCAGTGTTTGGTGACAGCGTTTATTCTTACATCCTATTATCTTGTACCAGCACTTAGCTAATTAATGAAGCTCTAGAATTGGCCCAATTAACATGAATGTCTATTGGAGATTTTCGCACCCATGTCGAGTCGAACGTGTTCGAGTTTCTGTACAAACACTTGTTCAAAACTAGAAACAAATACCAGAGGTCGTATGGTTAAAAAATTTCATGCACCACGGACAGCTACGGAGTTATCCAATTTTAGAAATGGAAATGGGTTAAATAAACCCCGACTGAACACTGCGGTTGAAGTTTACGACGCCTGTCAGAAACCGTGCGTGTGGCGCGTAAAGTCTGGTCTGGTTAATATCGGACCAGATCTCCCGCATAGATGTTACATCGGAGGCCGGCCGCCTCCGAACTGCCCCTTTTGTCCTACATGTCACGCAGCTACCCACACTAATTAGTCCATTATTATCGCCGCCGTCGCCATCACTACCGGCAACTCATCGTTCGCGTTTACCGTTCTTCGCGGCATGCTCGCTCGTAGATGTAACTTTAATGACGGTGTACTAAAGGCGTGACCGCGCGGCACTTTCGGAGCGCGTGGATGCTAACGACGCGTGTTAAATCGCGAACGTAACAGAAGCGTGTTCGGGAGCGCGAAACCATCGTCTTGACCGATTACAGCACATAGCAACTATAATGGGCGAAAACGCACGCGAGATGGCAAACAAAAGCGGTGTAGTAGTCGTCGAAAAATAACTAAGGATAAACTTTAGGACTATACTCTGGTGAAAACAAAAGAGTTCTCTGGCGACAAAGACAACCTTTCTTTTTTATGTTTAACAACAACAGTTCGTTTGTTTTCCGTAACTCTGAAAGTAGTGAGAGTGTTATTAAATATACGAGGAGTGCCTTTGTCGTCATGGAACATAAATTTATGAACTAAGGATAAACTTATCCTACCAAGACAAAATTAATTTAAGTCTCACGTATCACCGAATGGATTAAAGATGTCTTAATTGGCACTTTAAAGACAGATGTAGAAATTCAAGTTGGTAGAAATTAAATTTCCACTTAGCAAACGCATTGTGCGGATCATCTAACAATATTTATAGGTTAAAAAGAAATTTAATTATGACGAGACGAAATTAAATTCAATTAAATGTCACGCGTCATCTAATGAAAAACAGACGCAGAAATTACAGGTAGAAATTTTCACTTGGCAAGCGCATTGAGCGGATTATCTAACATCTCCCACGGATATGATACATTCTTTCGCTGGTGCATCTCTATCTTGAATTTACGTATCATTGTCGTTGCAACTAAACGAGCAGATGAGCGAGTGTCCTTCCCCATTAACACGTTTCTCGCGGAATAACGCGGACGACTATTCGGGTGACGATATCGGTCGACGTAATTCGCTCTGGCCTTCGCTTGCCCATCGTGGTGTCTTCCGTTTCTCATGGGACGCTATCGTGGGACACGGTCCTTTCGTGTGCCGTGGTGACACGACCCGGCGCACCCACCACCACGTGGCGCGCCACGGACAAACGTCGACGCGTGCCGGGCGCGTTTAATTTCGCTAAAACCCAGCGCGCGCGAATAATAAACTGACAACGACGACGACAATGGCGGCAGCAGTGGCGGCGACAACAACGACGACGACGAGCAACCGTCTAGACATACGGTCTGCCATCGTCCGGGGGAGTATTACTATTTGCCGCGCGTGTGGGCGTCCGGTGTGGGAGTGCCGGCCGGACATGACGGAACATTGGACGAACGGATGGACGAGCACACGCATGGATGTGCTGTGGGTGTGGGTCGTGGTTTCCTCCCTGGAACTGAAACTCGGAATTCAGGAATCGGTATGATAAAAGGCACCGTCGGAGAATGAGCAGCGGCGACGGGGAAGCGTTTGGACGTAGGACGCGGCTTGATTAATTCCCTCGTCTGTTGCGAATACGCTATCCATGTGGACGAGTGTGAAATTTGCTCTCTAGGTGTCATTATCCACGTATAAAAACTTGCCTACAAAAAGCAAAGATTAAAGCAAATTAGAAAAAAGTTTACTGCGGGGAAAAGAGACATATTGTGTACTGGAAAGTTCCGACGGATAATATTCAAATATGGATCGTAGTAATTAAAGCTCCTGGTCCCTCGTCGTGGCAATCTTGATTTATGACGTCAGAAGCGAGGGAAAAAACGATAAATAACTGTAAATTTAACGTGACAAAATAATGAAGAAATATAAGCAAAAATGAAAGGGTGCATATCATGTTAATTTTATGATTATTTATTGATTGTTAGAATAAAAGGAAAGTATTCAGAATATTTTAGAAGTCTTAATCAATTGCAAGTGTCATTTTTTGAATATATCTCTTTTTTTCGACGTACTGTGCAGGAATTTTGAGCATGCATTTTCTCGCATTTCTAACGTCATAAATCAAAATGACCATGGTGAAAGGTCAGGTCCGATAAGCTCATCGGTCGAGTAAAGAGGACAATTATTCGGGTTGAAGTCTTTTTAAGAGATCAAATAGAGTTAGGAGAGATGCTAATTTCGCTAATTACTTGATTCCATCAGACAGCACTTTATGAATTTCCTCGTAAAATACTAGTGCGACTGTCAAGGAACTTTAATTAGATAAGCTACGCGAAAAACGAACGTTATCGGCGCGAGTCCACATCTATGGAATAGCGTCGAGCGTTCGTGTAACTTTCGTACAGTCGCGAGAAAATTAAACGAGTAGAGAAGTTTTATTTATATAACACTCATATGATACATCTCAGTACGGTATGCTGAACTCCTTGTTAACATTTGCCTGTTCTTTATCGTCAACGTTCTGTAATTTAAGTGGTTCTTCGTTGTCTTCCTGCGTTCCGTAAATATCGCAGATCGGTATCGGTTTCATTTTCCGTGTTGCCCTCTCTATCTTTCGCACCAGGCCGATTTCCGCCAAAGTGCTTACGAAATTGGTCACTCTGCAGTCTTTAACACTACCGACTCTTCCGGTTCTACCGCATCTAAAACCGCATCATGCAACAGTGCATTAAAGTTTGCCACATATATTACACACGTTGTAATATAAAATATCCTGATATGAACATTAATATACATAAATTTATATACTCTATCGACATTTCATTGTTGCTTGCTGAATTGGGAGTATAAATATATATGTGCAGATTTATTATAATAAATTTATACATGTACATATTATTGACATTAATTTTTTATAAGATGAACTATAAGATGGATATACCTGTGAATATAGTCGGTGGTACTGAGCGGAAATTCGTAATTCAACACATGGCGTACCGCCACTGTGTCTAAACCCCGCGAGCCCGCGTTTGTAGTGCACAACACATTGCATCTACCACTCTTGAAGTTGGCGTACATGCCATTTCTCATATACATCGGCATGGTGCCGCTCAAATGAACAGTTTTTATGTAACTGTTGTTCAGGAACATACTGACCCAATTACATGTGGCACTGTTGTTGCTGAATATGATCACCGGTTCTTTATTCGCTACCTTTGGCTTGATATATTTTAAAAGTTCTATTGGTTTATCACTTGGGCCTATCCTCATAAATTTTTGTGGCACGAGAATGTGATGCAGTTTGTCTGATTTCACCTGTATTAACGAATCTATCTGCAAGAGAATATAATATATAATACATGTTTCAATAATTTTAGTATAATCTCAATTTTACAAAGAAATAGGATTCACTTACATTTACAATATTCTCCAGAACCTCTGACATCCTAGAAGGCATAGTTGCAGACGTTACTGTTAATTGGGCAGCATTCGGAAATTCAGTATTATTTAAATTTTGCACAAAGCCGATCTGAAACCAACACAGTATTTAGATTTGTATATATTAGATGAATATTACATGAATGAATAAATATATAAACGTACTGGTATTCTTCTTAAGAACACTTGCAACTTGTCTTCAAATGTTTCATCAAATAATGAATCTGCTTCATCCAGTACAATATATCTGACCATGTCTAATTTGTAAATATCGTTTGTCGTTAACTTACTAATAACTCCAAAACTAGCTACAATGATGTCAACATGTCCTAAAGGAGGATCTAATAGAATCTTTTTTGTCTTCCCACCAGTAAATGTCTTCGTTCTGATACCAAGATATTGACATATTTTTTCTGCTTCTAACTGTAAAAAAACATATGTTTTCAAAGATATATAATAATGCATATATACAATTAGTTTTGTGCTAGAAAGAATATACGATACGAACCCCAATTTGAAATGCTAATTCTCGAGTAGGTGTTACAATCAATCCCAATGGACTATTGTACGGTCTATTCTTTAATGTTTTCCATGTTAAAATCTTATTTATCATAGGTATTAAATAAGACAGTGTTTTCCCACATCCAGTTTCTGCAGTTATGACAGTATTAGAACCATTCATTATTTTAGGTATTCCATCTATTTGTATCTTTAGAGGCCTTGTGATACTATATCTTTCTAAAACATTTATTAGTTGTTGATCTAAACCAAAATTGTTAAAAGATTCTATTTCGTCCGATTCAACATATGCTTCTTGCTCAACCTGAAAGACGAATAATATGTAGGAGATATATTTATAAATAAAAATAATCATAGAACATACATTAAAAAATTAATAATCAATATCATACGTTTACAAGAGGATGTATGAAGAAGTAATCTCCTTTAGACTTATAGTGATGCCATCCTTTGGCAGCCAATGGTATAGGCTCAAACTTAGAGTATATTTGTCCTTCATAAAAGTTTAATTCCTTCTTCTTGCAGATAATTATAGCGGTTCCTTTTTTTGCTTTTTCTGGTAAATTAGTGCAAGATACATTTCTTTTCTTTTTATTATTAGAGCTTCCTTTTCTCTGTAACAAATAATGTTAATATCTATACGAATTCTCCACATATATATAACATTAACTATTCAAACTTAACCTAAATAAAGGAAACCTAACCTAATTAAAGGAAAAATCACACTTACATAGCACCTTTGCAATTTTACAAATTGAACATTCGTAGTTTTGTGACACAAGTTACAAAATCGAGAAAACATCATTAATAATCAATAATTACACAGTACGTGTATAACAACGTAACATGCACCATTAGACGATTGCCATCCTGAATTACCGACAATACATTTGTTCGCGCTGTTTGCACTTTTGACACTTTTACACTTAACGCCTGTTGCATACGCAGATACGAATGAGCGAAATGCAATGAGAGATTTTTTTCTAAGGTTGCATTCCAAAACGTCCTTTCCGAGGAAAATTTTACCCTTAAATCTATAGTGTATGTAACATGAACTATAGATTTAAGAGTAAAATTTTTCTCGAAAAAGATGTTTTGGAATGCAACCTAAAAAGAGATCTAGTGTGCGACGGGTGTTAGATGTAAAAATGTCAAAAATGCAAGCAACTATTCTATTATCTTAAAACGTAGATTTTTTCTTTAACTTGCATGCAAGTATAAATTGCAGCGTGATATTTTTAACATCTTATCTAATGTTAAAATAAAAAAACATTCTTCTGGCTTTGATGGTTTATAGAAAATAAACGAATAGATGTGAGAGAGACAAAAAATGTATAAAACTTCAAATTTTTAAGTATAAAACTTCAAATTTTTTCTCTCTCTCAAACGCGTTCTTTAAAATAGATTTATAACAAAAAGAAATTTTCAATGTAAGAATTTAACTGAAAAGTGAGGTTAAAAATTAATCGGATATCATTTTTGACTCAATATATTTTGACAAAACCTGATAAAATTACAAAATTAATATGTTTAAGAACTAAAAAGATTTTAAGCTATAAAATGCTTATCAAATCTTCGTAGTATTATTTTTGCTAAAATTATAGTCCGCTGAATTTTATTTACTTTTTAGAATAGAATAAAAGCATGTCTAACTTGTTTTTGGATAGTACTACTTAAAAAAATGAAGATGTGCCTGATCCATTGTTGAGTTAAACGGCTTCGTTTTTTTTTTTTTTTTTATTGAGAATAAAGAGTGTACAAAAGGTGTTCGGATCTAAGTGCTAAGCCTATCCGACCCTTGTGATACCAATCGCTAAAGTATGTAATTTTCTCAAAAATATTATACAATGTTGTTGATACATAATTATTAACTACGGCTTCGATTCTTCGTTGTGGAAAGTGGCGGCTCGCAGCGAAGACTTCGGAACTAATTTATAACGTTCGGCAGAGAGAAGCATGAGAGCGGCACCATCCTGATTTCAATGGCCAGAGCTAGAGCATTTTTGAGACGCCATCTAACAAAGTGCGCCTGGTTCGTGCCTGTTGTACTTTCGTACAATGATAGTAAGATAGAAAAGGACAGACGTCCAATCGCTCTATTTTTGTCTCACATTGTGAACGGACCGCGCGACGTAGGCATGAAGCGATCTAGCAGCGATATTATTGTATAGGCACGAACCAGGCGCATTTTATCGTTACCACCGCGAGAATGCGCCTAATGAACGTAGTAAAGGCGCATTTTGTTAGATGGCGCCTTGAAAATGCGCCTAGTAGAATCCCTATAAGATAGAGTCTGCGCATGTGCGTGTTTATCCTTATTAGTCGAAACAAGGTTTGGATAAACGTGGCAGAACCAATAGAAATTGCCATAGGAAGCGGGATAATTTGAAAAGTAAAATAAAAAAATTATAAACAATTAGTAGTTTTTTTTACTAAACTCTAAAATGAATAAATAAAAACATAATTTGGTTGTAAACTTGAAACATTATTAATCTGCAGGAAGTGAATACTGTGAAAAGCCTTTCTGATAATAGTTCTTGCATCATGGAACATGACATGTTGTCATTTTGAAATTTAAAAATATCGAGAATTTGTATTGCATTATTTTATGCAATTGCTTTTTTAGATATTATTCAAAATAATACGAGGTTACGATAACAATTTATATAATGAATACAATTTTTTTATAATATCACAATTTTTAATTGAATTAACTTTTTTATTTTGCCATGGAAACTACATACAGAATAATTTTACTTACTTCTATTAACAATCTATAGCCAAACTGACACTTTTATCTCGTAACGCGATAAATACCAGCTGCGTTCATATATATACGACCGCCATATTTTTCTAAAAATACTAGTCGAGTGGCCAGACTCTATCTTATAGGGACTCTAGCGCCTAGCTCTGGCCACTAAAATCAAGCTGGTGGCCGCTCTCAAGCTTCTCTCTATGTTCGGACAGAAGTAACAGGTTTGAAGAATTATTAGACCCGTTATTTCTATCTGGACGTTGCAAATTAATTCTGAAGTCTCCGCTACGAGCCGCCACTTTCCTCAATGAAAAATCGAAGTCGTAGTATAAGTCATATAGATCAACCACACCTTCATCTTTTAAGTAGTACTATTCAACGGTGGGTCAGGCATCTTTTTATTGTATTCGGAATGCAGAAGTTGGAGAAAGGAAATAATCATTGTTTTAAACTACCACTAAGGTACCCAGTCTCCAATTTATTTCTCTTCCTCTTAATATTTATTGTCAAGATTTATTTTGATTAGTCATCTACATGAATAATAGACAAAATTCGACACGTTATAACTTCGAAAATAATTCAAAAAGCATTTTGCAAATTTAAAAATAACGAAGCATTTTACATTTTAAAAATAACAAAAATAATTCAAAAAGCATTTTGCAGTTTGAAGTTTCTAGTTTTTAATCATATTAGTATTAATTTTGCCAAAATATATTTAGCTAAATGAAAAATGGCAAACATCGATTTGCAAACTTATCTTTTAGTTGGGTTTCCGCATCGCATTTTTTCTACGCATCAAGTTTTTTTCTATTAGCTGATAAAAACATATTAAAGAAGAAATTTTAAGCTTTATATTCATTTTTTGACGAAGATCATACATCGATTCGTTCAATTTTTATAAGTGATCTAAATCGAGAGGATACTTTTTGCTTTAACATGAAATAACATGGTTGAAAGAAATCGCATCGTAATTCACCTGTATACAAATTAAAGAGAAAAGTCTGATTTTAAAACGGTTCTAGTTTTCATGCAATTTTTCGTTTACGTAGTGTGACTTGACAAACTTTATAAAATAATTACACGTATGACAAATCTTGATTTGTTAATGCTAACTATTAATGCTAATTAATGGTAACTATTATTAATTAAACATATTAATTTGTCGCGTTTTGAGTTGTGCAAACTTTTCGTGTGTAATTGGAATGCATTAACCGCAAGAAAAGTAACGAGAATGTTAACAAAGTGAAATCTTAATCCTCGCAATATTCTTACGATGCGATTGAAAATAACAATTAGCAAAGAAGTTATGAAGAGCGCGAAAAAAATTCCATTAATTAATCATTTCAAAAGGAGGACGACAATACAAATCTCATTAATCTTGAGTCCCGACTTCTTTTTTAACAAATTTTTAATAGACCTTTTCTAAAAATTGACATAAACATTTGTAAATACAAAATTAACGCAACTAGAACAGAGTTCTATAATCAGCAAAAGGTCCGAAAGTATGCGAAACGAAGACATCTCCTCAGGAAGTTAACACCTCCCTTTAGCCCTCCGCGAAAACCAAACCATCCTTTATTGAAGGGCAGAGACCTCAGCGTTTCTTGGGCGAAAGAAGGCGCGCGCAAAGAGTATGCGGTTTGCCGTTGTTTTCTCGGATCGATGCGTTTCGATCGCTGCCGTCGCGACGCTCACAGACGTCGTTTTACCCACTGCTCGTCGACGGTCGTCGGTGGTGGCAAGCGTGCTTGGTCGGTGTCGTGCGTTTCTATTCCCTGCAGGCTGTTCGCGGCTGTTCGCGGAGGATGTCGCACCTATATCCGTGAGGGTGGCTGCGTTTACCTCGCGACTGAGGAGGACGGCAGGAGAGACGGAGGAGCGGGATGGCTTCCGACGCCGAAGCGCAGGAGGCGCAAGAGGCTCAAGAGGCGGCCGACGAGGAGGACCTGAAGATCTTTGAGACGCTCTGCATCTCCTCGCCCCGGAAGGTCAATCGATGACGACGAGCATTGCTCGCTCTTCTCTCTCACCTCAGTATCGGCACAGTGCACGCATACTCACGCACGCACGCACGCTGTCGTATAGAAGGATGAGGGTGCACGCGAAGAACCGCCTAGCCGTCAAGTGGCAGTCACACGAGATTGTTGTAGTTGTTGCTATTGTTGTTGTTGCGGGTTGTCTTTGTTTTATCGAACAAACGACGGGACGAAGTGACGGATTTAAGTGACGATGCGCGCGGATAACAAATTAATTTGTATAAATTAACCCTTGGAGTATTGGAGTTGTAAGAGGGAGAGATGTACAGTGTCCACATCTTTGGTATCACCATTACCAATGTGTAATCATTCGAATGTTATGTCAATAAATCTATGAATATTGTTGCGAGTTACATCTTCTGTGACTTTTGATTGTTCCTAATGGAGATTCGTAAAAACACACGTTTCGGATCACGAAGCATATCCGCGCGTGAAGTATTCTCGGTGGACATTTCTCACCCCTTCCTCCTACTCCTTAGCATTCCATGTACGAAACAAAGGATGATAGTTTGATATTTTAAGGGTTAATTTATTAGAATATTGATTCCCCATACGGTGAGTTAAATTTTTGCGTTAGAGGGAGGGTTAAGAAAATCATGAGGAAAAAATAAGGAAAATTATAGAAAAATTGTACAATAGAAATTGCGGTAATAGGAAAAATTCAGGTTAATTACATGCGAATATCGCGGTTATAATTTCCCTCGTATTTTCTCAATACACGCGTAACAAGTCGCGACTGTATTGTCGAGCTTAGTAGAATTCTACGAGCGGAGAGTTGTAGACGGCGCGGTATACCTCGTGAGCTACGTCACACTGGCTTATCAACCCCACCGTCGCGGTATCACATAGGTACATGCAACATGCACAAACGCATTCACATGCTAATCGTACGGAGGTCACGTGCACTGCCGTATCATCCGCTACAAAGGCTTTCAATGTGTACATGCCGGGACGTACATAGTACGCCCATCGAAGGGCAACAGATCAATAGCGGAAGTGCGCGCGATATTGATCAACATAGTTATTTGATGGGACATTGATCGGCCGGCGAATCGATTCGCCACATTGAGCCTATCCCGATCGACCGGATTCGAGCACAATGTACCGGCTATTTTTAGCCAAAGAAACTTCCATGTAGCGGATAAGATGCATTTATTTTAATATCGTGCCTCCTGGTTGGAAGTTCTTGATCCGACGCGTATCCTGAAGTAAAGTGAATTGTAGACTCCTGAAAAATCAAAATACATCAACTCGATTATTTATACCCATATAGCACAAATCTCTAAAAGACTTCTTAAAGAATTCTAAAAGTGTTCTGGAGAACTTGAGAATTCTTTTGGAACTGTTTAAGAAATCTTTTAGAAATTTGTGCTATATGGGTATATTTATAGATGAGATTCGTGTTTAGCACTGCAAATGTTTCAGAGCCATGGATAGGCTGATCATATTGTTTTATTTTGAAGAATTCGCAGTAGAACGGACCCTCTCCTACATCTTCTCTAGGAGAGAAAGGAATCTTGTGAAATTAGCGAGATTGAAATAATTTAAAACGATGTGTTACATTGTATTTCTCATATTTCAATTAACACCACATGTCAACAAACTACGTGACGATGAATGACGAATAAATTGCATCAATGAATTAAACAGATAACAACTACGCCGATCTTAATCTAATCTATGCGGCTTCAATCACAGTCGCGAGAAAACAAATCAAGCATCGCAGAGCGTAATCAGGATGTTCCCTCCATCTAGAGCACGTCGTCGTCGCCGTTGTCATTAACGACTGCGCGTAATTGCGGACGCTCACGAGATTCCGTCACGTTCGTTTATTACCGTCTCCCTTACGCCACGCCGGAGCCCCTCGGCCCGCAATCGCGCGAATCGCGGGCGTATCGACTCGCGCGTGAACAAGGGTCGTGGTTGCCATAGCGTTGCACGCAATCGATTTCACCTGTCGCTGTCGCTACCCTCCTCATCCCCAGTCCGCTCGCGCTGTCGCGTGCTTTCGAAGTCGATCTTAATTTATCGGACGCTACCGGGGGGG